CGGGTGAGGCAGAAGGAGATGGTCTGAGGACTGAATAGGAGAGTGAGGGTGGGAGGAGGACTCCCAGGTCCCTAACTTGGGTGACAGGCAGACGGTGGGACCACTCCTTGAATAAAGGAAGAAATGGAGTGGCTCAGGGAAAGAGCCAAGGGGCTCAGCTTTGCCTGTGGATTGCAAAGGTTTTATGGGACACCTAACTGTCACCTAGGTCTCTGGTGACATTGGCATATGCAGGTCTGGAGCTCAGAAGAGAGATATGGACTGGGAAAGAGCTAAGGGGGTTTTCAGCACCAAGAAAGTGATCGAAGCCTGAAAGTGGGGGTGACAATCCAGGGAGAACCCTTAAATGGCAAAGAGGGTTCAGTCCTGGAGTCCTGAGCCCATTTCCACCTTACAGACACAGGGAGCAGTGGAGCAGAGAAATAACACATCCCTTCTGCAGAGGCCTCGCCCAGTGATGACCCTGGGCAGAGCCAGCCTGGGGTGGGCGGCTCTGCTGAGGGGGTCCCATTGTCCTGCTCTCACTAGTCTTTCCTCTACTATTGATTCATCATTGTCTAAACAGCTGTCTCTGCATGGGATGTGAACACCCCAGGGAGCATGCATGATGATCTAGTGGATCCCAGTGATCCCTGAGGGTCATCTTGTGGACAGAATATGGCACAACTTTTATTTATTTTTGTTTTTTTGTGTAGAAAAAAATCTAAAGAAAGTAAGCTGCACTAATATTGAACACTAGGACTGATGCTGGCAACCTGGCTCAGTGAGTGTGCATGGTGGTCTGGTCCTGTGCAGGAACTCTCCTGAGGACAGAGTGGGTGGCCAGTCCACTACACCAGATGGTGATGGGGCATTGTCAAGGGGCCCTAAGACAATCCTCAGGCCCAATGATTCAGTAGATTCACAGGACTCAGCATACAGTCGTATTCATAGCTATGATTTATTACAGCACAAGGATACAAAGCAAAATCAGCAAAGGGAAAAAGCAGAGGGGGTGAGGTCCAGGGAAGGCCAGGCACAAGCTTCCAACAGTCCTGTCCCAGTGGAGTCACACAAGCAACAAATAGTGACAACATGTGTGAAATGCAGTCTGGGGAAGCACAGCAGAAACTCGGTCCCCAGGGTCTTTACTGGGGGCATCACAGAGTCACCCCCTGCCTTCTACCTATCAAAATTCCAAACCTCCAAAAGGAAAGCGGGTGTTCAGCACAAACCACGTTGTTTCCACAAGCGGTTCAGGCACAGCGGGGCCACTCATCATTTGAGAGTATTGTGGGAACCTTCCCAAAACCCAAGTTCCCAGACACAGCCACGGGCCAAACTTACGATCAGGCCTTTCTGAGAATAACCATCTCATGCCTGGTACCTCAACTCTTTCTGCCATCGCTTGCTATCAGTTTATGGCAATATATTACAGTTTCCAGATGCCATCTTTACATTATTGACTTTCAACTAATTTAACTATATTATGTTATTGAGTCTTAATGAATTTAGCCCTCATAAATTAGACAAGCCTGAAAATGATTGCTTCAAAGAAAACATAAGTCAAAACAAATATTAATACTAAGCACGTTGGAGTGACAGGTCTCCTGCAAAGAAGAGGTCTTTGTCAGCCACATGATAGGGTAGAAGTTAAGGATATTCCTTTATTATTTTTCATCCTTTTAAAAATGTCCATGTTCTCCCCACAAATTTGTATAATAAATACGTTCAATGAAAATAAATAAATATATTTCAAACACTTAAGCAAAAAAAAAAAAATGATCACATTTAAAATAGTTTTTTCTGGTAGGAAACCATGATCAAAAACTCATGTAGACCATGGGTCTTAACAGTCATGTCAACAAATCAGCTTGAAAAGTGTGCAGAAATCTCCCAGGAGAGGGTTCTGAGGCTGGCCAGCTCCTCCCCCGAGTGTGTCCTTGCCCTTTGACCGCTGGCTCCTGGGCACAGATGAGCCTGATTTGGATGCAGATTCGACCTGAGGAGGAGGCAGTAGGACATGGGGGAGAGAGGGCTGGACCAGGACGAGGCGTGGAGTTCCAGTCTCAGCTCCGGAGCTGTGCAGTGTGGTTGAGGGAAATGTCTTAAACACTCTGGGCCTTAATTTCTTCATCTGTTAAGGTGATTCCCTCACTCAACTGACAGCTCTAAAAAATCACCCTGATTTTTGCTGCTGCTGTTGTTTGCTTTGATTATTATATACTTTGCCTGTGGCCTAATAATACCTGTTGATTGAACAGATGAACAAGTGAACAAGTGAATGAATGAATGAATGAGATGACCTGTAAGGTCCCATGCACCTCTAACATGGTGGGGAGTGTACGATGGTCATTAGATAGGCTCAGGTTTAAATTCCACATGATTGGCTCTTCCACCACCCTGTTCTGTTTACTTTTCTTGCATCCTGGTGTTATAAGAATGTGGCCATCCTACGCCCTCTCTAAAGCACTATGGGTCATTCTTGCCCTTCTGATTTCCCCCTTGTTTTTGAAATGAAAAAGAAAAGGAAACAGAGGGCTCAGTCCCCACTCATACCATTGTCAACGTTCACACTTCACCCGTCTGTGTATCTGAGCAATCGCTGTAATGCTGCCGTCCTTCCCCTGATTTAGGGGTCAGCCTTGCTATTTACTCAGCGGGTTCCCATCTTCACAAATAGAATGGAAAGGGGAAATGTCCTGCCTCTGAAAAGCTGGAAAGCCAAGTTGTTAGAAAGGCAGGAGCAGAATGACTTTGTGAAGGGACTGGGCTGGGAGTGTTTCTGGAAATGTCCTAACATGCTGGTGGCATCTCAGGGCTAGAAGGAGCTTGCCAAGCAAACTTGCTATGCCCAGTTCCTCCAGACACAGGGGGCCTGATCTGTCGGCTGAAGCCTGGCCATCTGTTTTTCTCCTGCAACGTCCACTTTTCTGCTGTGGTCAGCGGAGGCGGGTTGGGACTT